CAGCTTGGCAGTTTCTCATAAAACTAAACATGCTGGGACCATATGACCCAGCAACTGTATTCTTCGGCATTTATGCCAGAGAAATGAAAACTTATGTTCATTCATAACACCCCAAAACTTTATTACAATATACTCCAAACTGGAAACAATCAACATGTCCTTCCATGGGTGAATAAACTGTGGTACATCCATACCATGGATTATGTATTCAAAAAGGGGGCGAACTATTCATACACATAACAATTTGGATGCATTGTAAGGGAATTATGCTGAGTGAAGGGGGGAAGCCAATCTAAAAGATTACATACCATATGATTCCCATTTATATAGCATTTTAGAAATTATATAGATGGGAACAGAGTAATGATTGCTGGGAATTAGATGTAGTAGGCAGAGGACGGATGTAGCTGTAAAGGGTAGGTTGTGGGAGCTCTGCAGTGACAGAACAGCACCATACATACCTTGTGGCGATGGTAGAAGAAAATCGCACAGCAAACACACACACAGAGCATATGTAAAGCTGGTGAAATGTGAATAAGCTTTGAAGACTGTAACAATGTCGATTTTCTGGGTTTGATATTGTACTGCAGTGATGCAAGATGTCACCATCGGGAGAATGGCTAGGCCCGAGGGGGTGGGGAGAACCCGAGACTTTCCTATACATTTCTTGCAACTCTTTGTGAATCTATAGTTATTTCCTTCGAAAAACTCTCTTTTCAGTTTATTGCACTGTAGATTTCTTTCATTCAATAAATCCAAACCACCACTACCACTTAATGCCACTTTGAGTTTATGGATTCGTTTCAGAATCTTAAATCATATCTTAGCACCAGCTTATTTGATTAAGTTTTTCAGAAAGTGTAAAACTATCTAAGGAATTCTCAGGCTATTTAACAGACTATTTTTAGCTGAAATAAGACAAAAGAAACTGTCCAAGAAGAGATATTTTAAAATTTGTTGTAAATGACAGGAAAGGGTAAGTGAATTGGGCTTAATCTGAATAATCAGCCCTAAATTCTGTGTGCTGACAGGCACCTAGACGGCAACCCATTTCTGTGTAGGACAGTATTTTTTTCCCAGTCCACTCTGGCAGGCTCCTCCTTTTACGTGGTAAGGAGATCTCCACTTCCTCTTTTAGACTTTATAACAAGCCAAGAGAAGCACGGAACCTATGTCCCAATTGTGCAAATGAGCCACTGCCTTCAATCCTGTTAAATAGCGAAGCCTATTCGGCCTCTGTAGGTGCAGGATGGCTACCCACAAAGACCTCCATAGATGTCAATCAGCATTTACCTCCTATGGACGGACCCCCTGCATCTCAACCAGCCCAAGTCCAGTGTGTGAAAAGTGCTTCTCTCTGTGTGAGAAAGAGGAAGGGATGTTTAACCAGTAAAAAGTGAATTATTTTTGGTGCTAAGTAGACTAAACTCATCACCCAATGCATAAATTTCCTCTCTGACACATTTATGGAGAAAACTTCCAAAGAAGTTTCCGTACCTTCAGTGGCTGTAATCTCATTTCACATCCAGGAAGTCTTTCATTTTGGCAAACTGTTAAAGCAGCATTTGCCAACGTTCCTGGAATCCCACTTCCATGTGAGGTTACCAGTGTTGTGTTTTTAAAAAGCCATACCAACCATACTTCCTCATTACAAAGTTACCTTTGGACAGATATGTAAGAAAAGTACTGAAAGCATCTGCAGTAACAGTTGCTGTTGTTTGGTGATGATTCCTGAAGCCATGAAATTCCTACCCAAGCCCTTCAGAAAGTCACTTGGGAGAACACCCAATACCTGAACTCAGGGATCCTGGTGCCTCCCGCAGGTCCAGTTCCTACCATGAGGAGCAGCAAAGAGAAATAGGGCGAGAGAAGTGATCTTTCTTTCCTTCCTGTAAGAGCCAAGGGAATCTCTCCTCTCTACCTGCTCCACACAGGGTTATTATCCCAGAAAAAGTGAGATGACAGTCCTACCTACAATGACCTCAGCAGAGATAGATCAGTTTCCATATTTAACAGAGGCCCTCATATCCACAAAATCAGTGCAACCTTGTATTTTTTTATTAACTCAGTATTTGCCAAGCATCTTCTATTAGGAGGTACAATACGGGATACTAGGGATAAAATTTTTAAAGGGAAAAGCTTTATTATAATAATGTATATTATTAGACTAATAGCTAACTTTTCTTCAAGATCACATTCTAGACTTTATTCTAAGTATCATTCATGGATTATCTTATTTAATTGTGATCCTTTTGTCCACCTTGTACAGCTGATACTATTATCATCCCCTTTCTACAGATAAAGCAACAGGGGTTGAATAATTTACCAAAGGTCAGCATGCGGTGAAGTGGAGGTCAGAAGCCAGGGCCTAAATTCTTAGAGATTACCATGTTCTTAAGAAGTACACATTCTAATGGAGTTTGATCTGTAGTGTACTAAGGTTTCCCAAATCATTTATATATTATATCTACCTCCCAATTAAAATTTCACCTTCTATTGAGAGCAGCACTGTCCAGAAGAATTTCCTGCAATAATGGAAATGTTCTACTTTATTATGTCCTAAAGAATAGTCAACAGCCATGTGTGGTTCTTGAGCACTTGAAATGTGTCTACTGGGGCAAAAAACATTTTTAACCAAATTTAAATGGCCACATGTGACTAGTGAGTTCCATTTTTGACAGGACAGATACAGAAGGAAAGGAGATGGCTTTATGTCTGCTGATTTCTGTATTAAGGCAAAGCTTCGCAAATCAACATGTTGAGTTTAATGAAATATAATGAATGAAAAATCTTTAAGGGGAAATTTCCTCCAACCTTTAAGCTAGGGAGCAGAAATCTTTATTTTACTGGGACTTCCACTGTAATAAAATATTATAACAAAAATATGATAGAGCATACAGTCCTAGGAGTTGATGAAGATGGTAAAGAGGGTCCTTCCCTAACATGCAATGTTTTGGAAAGGCTGATATTTTATCATTTATTGTTACTTCTTTTAAAATACAGAGGTGGGCAAAAGTAGGTTTACTGTGCCCTTGTGACACTTTTGAATAAAGTTATTATAATAATCATAACCTGTATGTCTTTTCCATATGAACTGTAAACCCACTCTTGCTCAACCATGTACATACTCAGTTATATCTTTGCTAATAAAAAAGATCACTACTTACTTTGGATCCATAGGTAGAAAAAGGACACTTTTGATGGGAAAAGGATGGAATCAGTCTAGAATTGCAACTCAATGAACATTTCCTACAGAAACTATATTCTAAGGCAGACCTCTTTATAAATTTTGTTAAACTGCCAAAATATCATTGGCTTCATTATGTCATTCATACATTAAATACTGCATAAATATTACACACACTCATATAAGTGAGCTATTTTGACTTGAGGGCAAAATATCATGAATAATAATAGATAATTTTGAAAATAAACTGGGGCCGTCGATCAGCTGGTGTCCCTGAAAGTGGCCAAGTCAAGCTCTCACATTCCCTGATCCAGAGCGGTGAGTCTCCCCCGCTGCTCGGCGCTGGCCCACCACTTTCCTAGCAGGAACTCATCCCATAAAGTCCTAGCGATCTCAGCACAATTTGCACTGCTATGAAGCACGTCTTTTCCTTTGCTTTTGAGAAATCATTTCTATTAAGAAAAAAAAAAAAACTACGGGTCACAGTATTCAGCCCTTTGTCCTTTCCAATGTTATGTTTCCAAAGGGGAAACGCATCTCTTCCCCCTCCTGCTCCCACCCCAGTACGGCATCCCGGATGCTGCCAAATTGCAACCCTTACAGCAGTAGGGACGTAGCAACTGGGGCCTCCAGGAAGAGGAGGAGGAGATCCGAGAGAACTTGGGCTGGGGAGATTTGCATCAGCAGATGGGCAGTGCCCGAGAGCTGCCCATCCCCACGTGGGTGCAGTTCCCTCTCTGATCCCATGACCAGCCCTGCAAGATGACTTTAGATTTTAAAACCATAAAAACACTCATCAAAGAACTGTGAGAGCAGGTCAGTTTCTCTGGACATCTCAAAGCATATTCTTTGACTCTGACATCAGCTCTATATTTGGGAGCTTAATTTTCCCTTGAAAATAATTTGCAAATGACACAATACCCTAAAGAAAAAGGGAAACACCTATTTTTTCACATTAAAATTATGAGGATGTAAACCTGAGGTCCAGTTATATACATGCTGAGTGAAGAATTGGGCGATTATTCCATATTTTGCAAGATAATACAACACGGCCATTTGCAGGTGAAATCGCAAGGCCACCACGGTTCATTGCTTTGTTCCAAACTCCTCGGGAGGCTGCTGAGCAGCGGCAGCAACCCAAAGGAGGCTGCTATCTCGTGTGCCCGTGTGTGGCCCCTGACACACCAGTATTATCAGACCAGCTGCAGGCTCTACTTTGAGGGTTCTTCCCCCGCCCCCTAAGTAAGGGCAAACCTCGCAGCCAAATCATGCTAGTCACCTGGCAAGGCCGGGCTTGGCCCAGAGACGGGAACAGCACCCAAGTGAGGATGGGAAGCTCAGACACTGCCCATCTGCTGATGCAGATCTTCCCGGCCCAAGCTCTCTCGGTCTGTGCCAAGAGTCAGCCTGGAGGGCCCAATTGCTACGTCCCCACTGCTGTAACGATTGCAATTTGGCAGCATCCGGGATGCTGTACCGGGGACGAGAGCAGGAGGGGGAGGAGGAGATGGTGGGCCCTTTGCGAAATGCAGCGCCGGGAAGGGCAGAAGCCTGAATTTAATGGTTCCCGAGCTGGAATGAAACTTAAGTCTTTAAAGCTTGAGGATACGCTCTAACTTCAGCTCTACTGTCAGAGCCTTACTTTCCAAGTAGAGTGGTGACTATAGCAGCCCAGCTACGGTAGGGAATGAAGCCCAGGAAGAGGTAAGCACCTCCCAGGCTCTGCCGCCCCGAGTCTGGCCACCGGGGCAGCAACGAGTTCGCTCTCTGGAGGCGTCACAATGGGCCGAGGCCTGCGGAGGCCGCGCGCGCAGCTCTCCGGGGCGGAGCCGCCGGGCTGAGGTTGGGGCTGTGCGGAGGCAGTGGAAGCTGCAGCAGCTGGGGGTGGAGGTGCTGCCTAGCCTCCCAGCTCGGAGGTCGCTGGGGCGAGGAGGATGCGGCATTTGCAGCCAAAACCACCCAGCCTGGCCCCGGACCTCCCTGGCCCTCTCAGCTGCGGAGAGGCGCAGAGCGTGGCACTGGCCGGGCGGAGCTAGAGGCGGGCGTCTACCCCGCGTCGCACCACCCGCAGCTCTCCACTCTGGCCGGGCCCGGGAGCCTGGGGCCACGGATGCCCTGACCGTAGGCGCAGCTGCAAGGTTGGCCGGGCGCCGCCGCTCGCGGGGAGAGGCCTGAGGAGTCCCGGGGGCGGCCGCGTCCACCAGCTTCAGACGCCAGTCCCCGGGGGCGCTCGCCTCTGCGCTCCTCCTTCCTGGCCCAGCTCTTCTTTAGCGGACGTTCCCTCCACGACCGCTCCTTCCTCCCACCTAGATGATGCGTTCCCCTGCGCGGAGCATCAGAGGCCAGCACTCCCAGAAATGCGTGCGCCGGATCCCCATCTCCGGGACCCGAGGAACCGACGCCCCCGCCCTGTAGGTAGGTGGGTTAGGCGAGGACCAGCCCTCGCCGCCTCCCGCAGCTGATGCTGCAGCTGAGAAGAGACGGGGGGCAGGGTCCGGGACCCGCCAAACTTGCCCCGCGCCCGTGTCACTGGAGCATTCTGAGGTGTGCTCTTGGCCCTGGGCGCAGCCCTTGGTTAACCTGACAACCTCTTGTTGAGCCCGGGTGTCCAAGCGGAGGCAGAGAGAAGCTGGACCCTTCCCGGCCCACCCCCAGGGACCTCGCGCGCTGCGGGCAGGGTGGGGTGGGGGGACAAATTGGTGTCAGGCTGATCTAGGGGGAAGACCTTGGATTTTCAGCAGCTCAGGTAGAATTATGGTACTGTATTTTTTTCTGGCTGCATGAGCTGATGCGTTTTTTCGGTTTTAGCTAAAAACGTGTACACAGGGAAAGCGCTATTTTAGCGGCGTATAGAAGTCGCTGTGGATTTCTGTGCATTTAAGAGCTGGTTGGCTTGTATGTAAACTAGGTGGCTCAAGCCTTTTAGGGCCAATTAAAGAAGGTCCTTGTAGAAGTCAAATTATGTCGGGGATACAGCGTCAGGGGTATTCCCCACGCTGCCGACCCCGGAGCCTCCTGCTCGTCTGAGGGATGCGTTTCAGAGCCGCAAGTTTGTTACAGGTGTCGGGAGTTGAGAAGCAGCGGGACGCCTGCACTGAGCCGGCCAGCAGAGGCAGCCTGGGGCGCAGCCTAGCTTCCAACTAGGTCCACGGTTTGTATTTCTGAGACACTGGTTATGAATTCTAACAGGTTACTTAAAAAAAAATAAGGTTTAGAGTTTTGCAAAGTGGATCATTGTATGGTCCAAATTCGTATTGAGCAGAGGTCCCCAACCCCCGGGCCGCGGACCGGGACGGGTCCGTGGTCGGTTGGAAACCGGGCCGCACAGGCGGAGGTGAGCAGCGGGCACGCCAAACTTCGCTCTTATGGCCTGAGCTCTGCCTCCTGCCCCGCCCCTCCCCTCTCCGCGGAAAAATTGTCTTCCACGAAACCGGTACCCGGTGCCAAAAAGGTTGGGGACTGCTGGTTTAGGGCTTTGGAAAATGAACCAGTGTGAGTGAGCTCCAGGGGGACAGAGCCTTTGTCTGGTTCAGTCCTGTAATCCCCATCATCTGTTGCCTATTGCGCGTTTACTGTGTTAGTTTTTTGTCCAACTTTGTCAAGCTTCATCTAAAGAAAATTTAGCTTCAAAATCTACTTGTCTGCCCTGTGGCTGTTAAAGTTTAACTGGGTTTTAAAAATTGTTTATTTGTGTATATAGTCAAATTCAGTTAACATCTTCAGTTTGAATTTTGACATTTTTAGGATCATATGCTATTCTTTAAATAAGGCAATTCTCCCCAACTTCAAATACAAGTTTATTTCATGTCCAAGCTTGCACATTTTTCAGTTTTACTGGTAATCAAACTTATTTCAGTTAAACTCTCAGTTTGTAAAAAGTACAGTTCATGTTTAAAAGAAAATTCTAAGTTACCATACTCCAGAGGTAACAGTGATTTGGTTAATAAGTGACATATTAACTCACTTTAAAGTTGAGTTGTTGTGGTTGATCTAATTATATGCATTTTATTACAGGGAGAGATAAAAATAAAGCATGTAAAAGTGTCTATGATTTCTAAATGATACACATTTTTAACTATATGGGTTTTCCTTAGTATATAAGAATATCAGTTTCCAAGTTTGACAAACCAGGGTATGAAATCAAGGGTTTGAAAGATTCAGCGCCTTTCTGGTTTTTAATTTAATGTTTTCTTGAAAAAAAATCAAGGATAACTGTATCACATTTTATTTATTTTTTGCACTATGATATTTCCTGTTCTGATTTTTTTTGTTATGTAAGATTTAAGAGTTAGTATTAACCTGCTTAACGATTTTTGCTTTCTTCTTTTTTCCTTTTTTTGTCTTTTTAATACCTCTTCACTATTCTCCTTACATATTACCCCACAGACTTATTTCTCACAAAACTATGGTAAGGTGCATTTTATTCTTATCACTTCTGCAGCCTACTTGGGTTCTTTGTAGATGGGGAGGAAATAACACTTTTAAGCAAAGGCTAGTAAAGATGGAGAGAACCAACACTGGGAAGACACTGATGAAAAATACATTATGATTCCTGGAAACAAAGCAAAAATCCCTTTAAGAAGTAAAGATAATTGCATTTTATATATCTGAAATTTGTAATTAAGGATATTGAGCAGTTAACTTACATTGTTCTTTCTTGCTCACTTTAAACATCTCAAAAAAGCCCTCCCATATGGTTTCAGTAAACTCTTTACTTTGCTGTAGACACTTATTTGTTCACTTGACAAATGGAAGTTGAGTGTTTTAATTGTGCTGGTACATTCGGCCTTGAAATCAGTGAAATAAGAGCTGGTTCCTAAGCTCAGAGTGGAAGAGGCGTTTTTCTCTGTGTCTCCTGCACTTACAGGTGCAATGCCTCTTTGATTGGATGGTTCACTGTCTGGGCCCCATCTCCACCTGGGTTGCTGGAATGCAATTCTAAGACCTGAATTTACTGTATCCTATTTTTCTGTATCTTCCCTAAGCCTTTTTAAAAAATTATTTTTAAAAGGTTTTATTTTTTAGAGAGAGAGGAAGGGAAGGAGAAAGAAAGAGGGAGAGAAACATCAATGCGTGGTTGCCTCTCATGAGGCCTCTACTGGGGACCCGACCTGGCCTATAACCCAGGCATGAGCCCTGACTGGGAATCGAACCTGCAACCCTTTGCTTTATATAGGCCTGTGCTAAATCCACTGCGCTACACCAGCCAGGCACTTCTTTAAGCTTTTATTGCAGAAACCTCTATCCCTCCTTTGCTATATGCTTTTTTTATCCTGGCAGAATGTTTTTTATTCCAGCCCTATTTTACCCTAGCCCATATATTTGTTTGTTGTTTATATCTAAATAGGATTTGCTCAATTCACATATTTGCTCAATTTTGGAAGCAAAATTGTTATGGTTTCAGAAAAAGTATAGAAAAGAAAAGTTGTATAGCCTTGTATTTCAAATGTTGGAAACCAGTGGTTGAAGAGTGATTGTTGTGTACTGATCTCCCCTCAGTCGCAGTATATAATGCCTTTGTTTCATGTGATCAGAAGCTGAAGTGAGAGTAGTGTTTACACAAGGTCGACTGAGCAAAGGCCATGGCATCCCCCCTTGTCCCTCTGACTGGAGTCTAACCACATCTTCAGAAACTATGTAAACCTTGTTACCTTGTTTTGCATCCTTTGCAGCACCCCCACTCCCGCCCCACCCTTGTGCTCACACAGAGGGATTCTATGAATAAAGACAGTCACAAGAAATCTACTGTTATGTTACTTATGAGATGTGCATATGAAAATCATGGTCCCTTCTATAGTGCCTGTTTGAAGACCATGCAAGAAATTCCGTTCAGTTATAAATGGCAAAGAAAAGCTTTACCACCCTTGAGCAATTACTGTGTCTATTTTTCATCATGCAAAACTAGAATCAGATGATTGATAATGTTTTCCTTTCTGATTTGGCAACAAGGAAACAAAAGTCAAATTTGAAACTCAATTTTAATAAACCTATAAAAACCTATGACCTTAATATTGATGTTCTAACTTTCCCTTTGGTACTAGAGCTTCTGTTCCACTTAGTTTTTGTTGATTCTGATTTTTATCTAATTATATTTTCCCAGTTTTGCATTTATTATTTTAAGCTGACTCACATCCTTTGCGGAACAAGGCAAAACATAAAACCAAATAAATGGAAACATTTGCAAAATTGATCTCTGGACACAGTATGTTTTTGATTAACAAGTTTAATCAGTTCCATTAAATATGTTTTGAATAAGTATTGCAAGTTTAGTAGACTGGAGCTCATATAGCCAAATGGAAAACAACGTTACATAGTTTTGCAAAACTAAATTGCACTTATTTTTTAACTGTTAAATTTATGTACACTTATAAATTAACTTAAAATTGGTAAAGCCATTCAATTTAAGTCAGTTATTTCTGTAGTACCTACCTTGTATACTGTATTAGGCTGAAAAAAAATTCATTCCATATAATTAAAAAAATCATTTTTAGCCGAAGAGCTAGCCTAGACTAGGTTGACACTCATCACTGGACCTTACTTCTGATCTCTTTCACATCAGTAATTTATTTGATTCATCCTTGTTTTAATACATCAAATATAGATTCTACTTTGAGCCTCTTTGATTTACCATAAAATTGAAAAGATTGAGTTCCCTGGTTAATTGTCCAGACTTCATTCTGGTGTTTTGACAACTATCTGGTAAGTTGGTTGAATTTAACCTGGTAGATAGTTATTTACATCTATGTGACATCAAGTTCAGTTTGATACGTTTATTATCTAGGTCAAGAGAGAGACTGGCTTTTCTTAAGGAAATTCAGAAGTGCAAGTGGAAAGAGTGGAGAGGCTTTGGAGAGAGATGTGGGCTCATTTTTTACATGGAGGCATCTCATTGCAATAACCTTTATGTGTTTTATAAGAACAATCTTTGTAGAAGGTAATACTTTAATGTGATTCAAATGGTACAGATGGGTATACGGGGTGAAAGGACTCCTCATGTTTTTCCCCTAGTTTCCTGCTTTTTCTAGCCACTGGCAACCAGTATTATTAGTTAATTGAGAATCCTCTGGTGACATTTTATGTATATATAGTCAAATGTGAACATTTGGCCTGCTTCTGTTTTTTAAAGATTTTATTTGTTTATTGTTAGGGAGAGAGAAAGAAAAGAAGGGAGAGAGGCAGAGAAACATCGATGTGTGAGAGACATGTCTATGGGTTGCTTCTTGCCCACTCCCAGCTGGGGGACCTGGCCCAAAACCCAGGCATATGCCCTGACTGGGAATCCAACCAGCGACCTTTTGGTTGGCAGGCCAGCAACACTCAGTCCACTGAGCCACACCACCCAGGACTAAAGTTTTTATTTATTTTTAGAGAGAGGGGAAGGGAGCAAAAGAAACATCTGTGTGCAAGAGAAACTT